TTTATTCCTTGTTGTAACCTTTTGTTTTGTTTTTTGCGTTTGGTTGTGTTGGCCCGTATTAAATTGTTCCTATTCTTCTATCCGCCATTTTCATGGGAGGGACGAATCCTCCCCTTTTCATCTCAGATACTCTCATTATGTTCCGGTCGTTTTAATCGCCTCTGTCTTTTCCTAAATATTAGAAATAGAATTTTCTGTTAGTGTTCTTGTTGTTGTCATTTTTAGTTTCTTTATAAGTGTTTATTAAACAGTATTGTTTTTATTCTGTTAATTATAATTCATAAGTTGGGATTTCTCTTTTACCTGTGGTCTTTTTATGTAATCTGTTTTTTACCCGTGGATTTTGATCATATTACTTATCTGTCTCTGAATGTTTGTATCTTAATTTAAACGTAGGTCAGTATCAGCTCAGTGATCCAGTATTGGCAGTATCGTAGCCTGATTCGTTATTATCAATTCGAGTTTTCTTCATCTCGTCCTTTGTTTCGTGAGATGAATCTTTTTCCGTGCATCCGATTTTTATTTGTATGCCGCTTCTTATCTTTTTCACGAAACATTTCCATAGTTCATTTGTTGTTTTTCTTTTCATTCCTTTTGTTTTTTCAGCGTGGTAGATTTGCTGTTCGTGTTCCCTGTTCGAATGGTCCACTTGCTCGATAACGATATTGCTCTCGTTTCATTCATCTCGTGATCATGCTCCGCCCCTCTATTGTGTGTATACCGGCCGGGGTGCTCAACCTGTGCTAAGCCGATTTCTTTCCTCGCGACTCGTTTCCCCTGTTTCCATTCGTGTTTCTATCCCCACTACATTTCTCCTCTTACGCTTTCGTTGATCATGCTAGGCATTCTTGCATTTGGTGTCAGTCGTTTTGTTGCATTAATTATTTGTCAAGAGTGTTTTACAGTTATCCTGTTTAGGTTTTCTATTTCTTGGGGTCGATCTTGTTCGTGATTGATGTTATTTCTTATTTTATTGTTATCAGTTTTTTGCGGTGGATGGTATTTTTATTCGCTATGATTTATTTACCTGGGTTTTTATAATTCTTTATCATTGGTTTATTCCAAGGTCCTTTTATTTTTCTTTGGGGTTAGTTGATGCTGGTTTCAGCGTGGATTTTGTTCGTTGTTCGTACAGTTTGTTTAACGTTTGTTAGTTCTGAATTTTTTATAGTTTTTGGAGGGGTTCAGATTTTTCGTTTGTGTTATTCTTAATTTGTGTTGTTCATGTTTATTGTAGTGGTTTGATTTTACTCTTCTCTTTTTATTTGTTGTTAGCAGCTTTTTCTTATTTGTGTATGTATTCGAGACTGGTTTTTCTCTCTTTTATCGTTTGAATTTCGTGGTGCGTCGAGTTTTTCAGTTCGCGCTCTTTTTGCTCCGCTCCTTTGGCGCCATGTTGGGCCCATGTTTACGTCTCTCGCGACGTAACCTACAAGTGTCAAATCGTTACTCTTCAACCATTTGATTTTGATTTTTATGGGTTCTTACTTTGATTGTGGTTGTAAGTTATCATTTTGGTTTTTTATTCTCAACGGTGTATGAATTAATTAAGATTTTTACAGGTTTTGACTTTTTGAAGCGAATGAATCGTTGATTTGGACGAACGGCGAGCCGGGTGATCTGTTTTATAATACTAATATTAATCAAGGAGTCGATGTTAATTTCTGAGGAAGTCTCGAGCGTTTGTTTATCCGGTAAGTCATTTATTGTCTTTTTATAGGGTGCTTTATATATTCAATTTCTCTTGTAATTATGTTTCAGATGTCGTGAAAGAATGTAGGTTATCTGCAGGTTTTCAGAAAGTTTGTATAGCGAGTACTGCTTGGAGGCACAGTTCAGACCGCATTTTCTCCAATATATTCTCCTTGTAGTCCAGACTTAAGGGTACCTGATTGATTACTGTATGCATCGTAAGTGTGTTTGCCGTTAAATGCGGCGAATTTTGGTTTCTAATACGTTAATCTCTTCCCTATATGTGGTATTTATTCTCTTTTAATGTTCTAATTTTTTAGATCTGCAGGGGGTTTTGTAAATTTTATATGCGACATTGATCCAGCTCAGGTTCCATACTCAGGAAGCTTGTGATCTGTTTCTGTTTATTGGAAAATATGATATCAACTCTGACTTATGCAGGAGTTTGTAAAGTTGGTTTTTCTAAATTTATATATATTTTATTGTTTTCTTTTGGTTTTGTTGGAGTATATGTGTTACTTAAAGGTGCATGTTTTCATATTCTTCCTTCTGATTAGCTTATTCCTTGCTTGTTTTGATATTTACAATTTATTATTATTCATTTCTTTGGGGGACACAGTTTTGTTGTCTATCAAGGTCGTGTTCCTTTCTTTGGGTTGTTGGTATTGTTTTAAGAAATGTTCTTTCTTACCTTGTTAGTAGTCTTTTAATTCTTATTTCTTTCTTTTCAGTTTGTATTTATAGTGTTATACCGTTGGTGTTCAAATCTGTACTCAGTTTACCTTTTTGTAGGATGCCTCCACGTATTTTTACCTCTTTTGCAAGAACTGCAAATGTTTTTAATGACGTAAGAAAATGTAGTTTATCCTTCATTTTTTGGAAAATTTCGTACAGCGGACACTGTTCGAAGACATCATTCGGACTGCATTTTCTCCAATATATTCTCCTTGTAGACCAGATTAATAAGAAAGTATCTGGTTGAGTACTACATATATCGTAAGTACATTTGTTGTTATATACGGCGATTTTCGGTTTTCAGTGCATTAATTTCCTTTCTTAATGTTTCATACCCTTCTTTAATACGGTAATTTTTTAGATTTGCGGGGAAACTTGTAGATCTATATGCTACATTGATCCTGTTGGTTTCATGCTTTGGGAACTTATGATTTCCTTCCTGTTTTTTATAATATATGGCATCGAGCTCAACTTATTCAGGGGTTTGTAAAATTGGTTATTTGGTTCTATGTTGTTTTGTCATTTTCCTTCAACATTGTTGAAGTAGATGTGGTACCTGAACTATATGATTTCGTATTCTTTCCTGGGTAGTTTGTCGCTCGGTATTTGTAGTTTGGTATTTATAATCTATTGTCGTCCGTTTCCTTGTTAGTTAATCCTTTGTTTCTCGTTTTCTTTCCTCTCAGTTTGTAATCAGGGTGTCATATCGTTGACCATTGTGTCTGTATCTTGTTGGTCTTCTTATAGACTACTTTCACGTATTCAATTTTTCTTTACAAGGACTGCAAATATTTTTTAATGACGTAAAAAAATGTAATTTTATCTTCTAGTTTTGGAGAGTTCGCACAGTATGCACTGTTCGAAGTTACGGTTCAATTTGCATTTTCCTAATATATTCTCTTTGTGTATCAGTCTTAATAGTATCTGGTTGAATATTACCTTCTTTGGTTCTGCAATTTTTAAAGAAGGTTTGCAGAGGATCTTGTTGTTTTATACGTGGCATTAGTCTAGCTAATTCCATACTCAAGAGGTTTGTGATCTTCTCTCTGTTTTATGTTGGCAGATCGATCGTTTTGTCCCATTGATCGATTTCCTTGAAAAATCTTATTAATTTATCGTAAGGTAGTTGATCAATTCGTTGATCAATTCGTTGATCCTTAAAGTCTAGAATACCAAACGTCTCTCTCCTTTTTCTTTCGAATCTGTCGCAGTCGATAAGTAAGTGTTTTACAGTTTGCATTTTGTTCGTTCCACAGGTACAGTTTCCGTCCTCTTTTACTCCCATTTTGTACAGGTGATAGTTTAGTGGTGCGTGTCCCGTCAATACGTAAGTGAGGATTCTCGAGTCTCCGCGGTTCATTTTCAGAATCTCTTTGGCTTTTCCTACATTTATTTCACCTATCATTTCTCTTCCCTGTCTACATGTCGTTGTGCTTGACCATCTTTCTTTTAATCTGGAGAGCGAGAGTCTTTTCAATTCAAGTTTAAAGTCTGCATATGGGACCGGCAACCAGGGTTCCAGTCCCGGTCTTTTCTCTTCTACTATTAATTTTGCCAATCTGTCTGCTTCTTCGTTGCCCGGTATTCCTCTATGGCCTGGACACCAGCATAAGACTACTCTTTTGTTTACCGATGCCAATTCGTTTAGTCGATCGAAACATTCCAATGCTACCGTGGATTTATAGCATGATTTCTCCATCGTTTTCATTGCCGCTTGACTGTCCGTGAAAACAACTATGTGTTCGTGTCTAATGTTTCTTTCAATTAGATCTTCTACACATCGCAAGATTGCTACGACTTCGGCCTGGTAGACCGTGGCAAATTTGCCTAGGTATTCAGATTTACCGTTTGTCAGTCCGTCGGAGACCCAGGCACAACCTGTTTCTCCC